TGTTAATTAGATTTAAATGTAAATAGTCCCCCATGACTCCTGGTACCATATTGGACAATGCAGACATAGGGTGTCTACCTTTCATAAACAGTTATACCTGTGTGTCTCCACGCCCCTTTTACTTAAAGTACCCTGTTCAACTTTGGGCAGCCCCCCATCTCCACTGCCTACAGTCTTGAGCATGGCTAATGAAGTTGCCCTGCTCTCCTCCAGCATGGGGGCACCCAGGACCCAAGCTAAATCAACCAAACTCTCCTCTGGAAATCTGATTCTAACTTCAGTGTTGCAAGGATAGAAAATGAGCCTGAGCAGATTAACATGAGTGTCGATGCTCTAAGGCACTGTGTGTTAGTTTCTACACCACTAGTCCAAAGTGTGCCGATAACAACAGTGACATATGATGTGAACTAGGCATTATTATCACCATCTCTGTCATCATCCAAGTCACTCGTACCCAGCAGCTCTGATGCACCAACTCCTGTACTAGGTACGTAATTTGCTGAGCTTCTCTTGCACTTCATTTCTTCATCCGTAAAATGGGAATCATACTCATCCTAACTTCTTCCAGAGTTTTCGTGAAGACAGCAGAAGAGATGATGGTCATAAAAGCTTTGAAGCAATTAAGGAGTTACCCAAATGTCTGTTAGAGGTGTTGTTCCCCAGGTATAGGTGTCAGGGAGTCATGGGAGGGTTTGATGAAAGACCCAAGATCTGGGCCTAGTTCACAAGCCGTGCAACACCAGGCAAGACACTTGTCCTTTCTGGGCTTTTGGTTAAAATGAGATTGAGTTAGACACATCCTTTTCCAGTTTCACCATTTTCTAGTCTATTTTCATGCCCCCTTGCCTGACACATATCCATTTCCACTTCTATGCACACAGACCAGAAATTTCTCTAGCCTGGACCATGCCGGCCTTGTACCCAATTCATTTTTTCTTTCCCCAGCTGCCCACCTGACTGGGAAGCTCTGGGTATACATTCCCACTGCTTCCTGGACTTAACCCTCTGACAGAGCACTTTATGGGAATTGTGTTTAACTGTCTGCTGGTAAACTATAGGCGCCTACTAGAGCAAAGACCATGTCCCTCTTGTTCACTACTTATCCCCCATGCCTCATTCACAGCCAGACACATAGAAGGTGCTAGTGAGTACCTGACTGTTTGAATGAATGTCCTAAATCTATTTTATTATTTGTCATTGCAGGAAACCCATAGTATTAGTTATCTAATGCTGCATAACAGATTACCCCAAAACTTACCATCTTAAAACAACAATGATTGTTTAGTATCTCTCAATTTCTGTAGGAGAGAAATTCAGACAGGGCACAGCGACACTGGCTTGTCTTTGCTCCATATCTGGAACCTCAACTGTAAGACTCAAAGGCTGGTCAGCTGGGATGATCTTAAGTCTCAGTTCACCACCTCTCTAGTGATTCCGGCTATTGGCTGAGAGCCTAGCGGGAGGTGTCAGCCGGAACACCCTCACAGGGCCTCTCCATGTGGCTCGGGATTCCTCACAACATGGTGGCTGGTTTCTTCCAAGAAAGAGGAAGTTGTCTCCTTTTTATGACCTAGTCTTAAGAGTCACACAGCATCACTTCCACTATATTTTATTCATTAGAAACAAGTCACTAAATTCAGACCACATTCAAGGGGAGGAGAACTAGACTCCATCTTCTGAAATGAGTGTAAAGAACTTGTGAGCATATTTTAAAACCACCACAACCACTTGGCTAATACAAGAGGTAAAATACAGAGTGAAAACTGAGTGTCTGCAAAACTAAAACTTCACTTCAAATTATTACATGTGTGAGCTTGGGGACATTATGTTGACACTTGGTTTCCCCATTATTCAATGAGAAGGTGGCAGTTGTTGCCCTCTAGTGACTTTTACATGCTTGCAGTCTTCTTGCCTCGGTGCACTTAAGAGGATGCACGCTTGACTCACTTTCCTGGAGTCCTGCGACCCTCCCCATCACTGATCATCCATGGTTTCTGACCTTGGAGGCAGCAAGAGTTGCTCTTGGAGTCCAGGGGACCCAGAAAGTTCAGGTACCAGGACAACAGCAAGGAACAGATGGGGAACCACTGAGAATCTGCAGATTCCCTAAGGCCTTCTGTGTCCCAGCCCCCGTGTCAAGAAATACAGTGGCCACAGACCCAAGGAATTAGAATCTGATGGCGGGGCCCAGGAATCTGCATTTTTCCCCACAAGCCATACTAACTACTGGCAAGGGAGAGGGGAAATCTTAAAGCACACATGCGACTTGTAGTAAAGTTCTCGCTTCTGCTCCTTTTCCTCGTGTTACAACTCTGCGGAATAGGAGAAGGGGAGGGTGCGTTGAGTTTCCAAAGTCTAGGGGCCACGCACAACACTTAGCTGTACTTTCACCTTCTTCTGGGCCTACTGACTCTCCCAGCCATTTCCTCCTACTCCCATGTCGCGGTCCCACAACCCTGAGGAGCAGCATTCCTCCCGCCCGGTCCGCAATGTCGGGGTCTCCAAAGCTGGGTCCAGGGAGGCGGACTAGGGGAGAATTCCGTGCACCCCACTCCTACCGGTGCAGGTGATCTGGTGGGATAGGGTGACGTTTAACCTCTTATTTTCTAGAGATATTGATCCCCTTACCTCCCCCCGCTCCCCATGTTAAGGAAAGCACGCGCTTGCATTCAGAGGGACTCTGGGCTCACCCGGTATGACCACCTTGACTGATAGATGGGGAAACTGAGGCCTAGAGAGGCAAGTGATCTTTCGAACCTCCCATTGCAAAATAAATGCTGAACCGGTCTAGAACCCCGGTCTTCCAGGCCAGTGCTCTCGATTCTTCACGCCGAGGGCCCCTGCTGGGTAGCCCCTTTGAAATTCCCAACCGCAGGAATTCCTTCCGCGCCGGGGATCTCCGTGGAGTTTGCGCTTTGCGTGGCACATTGTAAACTTCCTTCGTAGCTCCGCCGGCCTCGGTGCACCCTGAGGTGAGAAGGGAGCGAATGCCCAGTCGCACCTTTGAGATAACCCGGGGCAGAGGGATAGCTGCGGGCAGAGGACCAGGCGGGAATGCGCTGGCCCTTTAAGGGGGGGACGGGGCGCATGCGCGGCGCAGGCCGGAGTCGAACCCGGTGGGCGGC